AGCGTTCTTGCCCTTTGCGCGACATAATGCAAAAAGGATGCTTGACTGCTTGACGTTTCTGGAAGAAGACCGGCTGTCGCAAGCAGTCATATCTTTCGTGCATAAGCCGAAAACACTGGTATTTACAGCATTCTTGCATCTTTGCATAGCGGCATAGCATAATGCAAAAACGACGTTTGACGTTCTCTGGCAAGGCGCGCTGTCACAAGCGTTCATGTCTTTTGTGAAAATGCCGAAAACATCGGTAGTTACAGCGTTCTTGCCTGCTGCACGACGTAATGCAAAGTATGTTTGACGTTTTTGGAACAAGGCGCTGTGTTATAAGCTTTCATGTCTTGTTTGAATATGCCTAAGCAACTTTAAAATTGGGCTGCGTTCGTGAACAGTTTTTGAGGTTTCGTAAAACCCTAATTTTTGATAGAAATGATGTTTTTACCTAGGAAATAAGCAAAATTCACGAGCCACGAAGTACGAGTAGCCAGGGTCCTCGTGGGCGCGTGACCTAGTTTTCCCCTTGCAGGTTGGGCTACACCCAGATTGAAACACTTCAGCCATGCTTTTCCAAAGCTACTGTGCGCCGTTCGAGCCCAACACATCTGACGCAGAAACCCGAGCCCAACTTGAGACATTGCCTCAGAAACCCGCTTTAAGGGATTGATTGACACTGCAAGCAAACATTGGGTGTGGCTCGCCGCTGCATGTGGAAAGGAGGAAGGCTGGAAAGAAGAAAGGGAACAGAGAGAGGGCAAGTTTTTCCGGCACCCTGCACTGCTGGAATGTTCTTGGACCAGCTGCATGCTGCTGAAAAACTGCAATCGCCGAAGGGAAAGCAGGTCATGTGTCAGAGCGAGTTATTGCAAGGCACCCATTTTGTTATTTGTTGCATGGTATGGCAAGCTAACGGCGAACCCTGCAGCCACCTCGGGTTAACTCGGGTTACTTCAGATGTGAGGGAACAAGGCATTCGTCTAGAATCTAGAGCGTATCATCGTGGAGCCGATGCAGGCCGCTAGGCTAGGCAGGTGAGCTTGTTATAGTTTGTTCAGAAGCACCGTAAAATGCTGGGAACCAGGGGCGTCATCACGATGACGAGTACAGCAATGCTTGCCTTCTGCCCAACACCATCCAAGCAAACAGCAGCCCAAAGCAGTGTGTAAACCTGCCTCGCAGCCCGCGTATATGGCCCCTTGTCCCGATGCGAGGCAAAGCACAGGCTTGCCGCAGGTTGTTTCTGTTCCTCTGCTTGCACGCCGCCGCGGAAGCTGTAACAGTGGAAGAGTCACATGCTGATTCGGCTGATTCATGCTTGGCAAGCGGCTCTCAAGGTTGATGGTGTCATTCGCTATGTCGGCAACGTTCCAAAAATGGATCGTCCCGTCCGTGGTACTGCTGGCCAGCAAGCCCTCTGACTCCACAAGGCCTTCGACGAGAGCAGGACCGGGCGAACGAAGTCGCAAGAGTTTGTGGCGAGGCACGCTCTGAAAAAGGAGTCAGTCTGTGTCTTTCTTAGCTCTTGCTGCTTCTGAGCTCTGTGACAAGAGGCCGGTGATGGGCTGTCCTTGCTGGCTGTGGCTGTTGAAAGCCAAGGTTGCAGTGGTAAGACCGCATCCTTGCCAGCACGGAGCACGGACATGCGAATTGCTTCTGAGACGCCCTGATCTGAGAGACTTTGCACCGCTCATCGCCACTTACCCCGCCGAGGAGCTCCAGCCCACGAGTTTGCCGTCGGATCTCCCAGCAACGATCAGCCTCTGCCCATCAGCGAACCCGGACCAAAGCTCCTTCGTCTCGTGGGGCATGTGTGAGCCCTCGGCAAACCTGACATCAAACACAAATGTCCGCCCCGAATGGATGCAAAGGAACTCGCTTCCGGTTGCAGTACGCCTCCCTTCTGTGATGGGTTTTGACTTGCGGAAATCCCCGCCTCAATTGGCTCTATTACTGTTTACATTTGTCCCACTCCTATTGCCTTGTTATCCTTTTTGCAGCAGACCCTGCCACAGGACCCGAGCCAAGCCAGGTCAACAGAAGAGAACCTGCTGGGAAACCGCTTGGTGCAAGTCACTCCCCAGCATGACCGCCGCTGGAGACATCCATTGCTCTCACGCGACCAGCAGCACCAACAAAAAGTGTCTCGTCCGACAGTGACATGGCCTGGATGCCACTGGCCTCAGCGAAAGCAAGCTGTTGTTGCTTTTCATTCCAGGCCATGTTGAAATTACGCCATGAACCAAACCAGCCTCATAGCCCACCACACGCAGCTTCTTTGGCTCAGTAGAAGCGGGACCGATGTGGCACACGGAGGTCTCCCAGTGCCTCTCCAAGAGCAGATCAGGAGCTGTGTCAACCAACTCGTTTCCGGCATGCTTCGAGCTTTTCCCCTGGTCGCATCTGAAGAATGGCAGACACAGGCTTCCGGTTTGGCATTAGGCCTTGTGCTGCCATATGTACGATAACTTCCGGCAGCAACTTCTGCCACAGCATTGGACATGTGTTGGCAATTCACCGGGTCGGTTCGCGACCGTCGACAGGTTCCTATGGCCCTGAAAAATCGCACCCTCGGCTTGCAAGATCGTGATTGTGATGATATGCAACATCATGAAACTCAATGTTCACCCTGCTAAGTGCGACTCTCGATTATAAAAGCAATCGAACAATCACTGCTCTTCCTCCTCCCGCTTCCATGCCATCTGCTTCCTACCGACTCTTTTTTGAACGAGGTCTCTCTGAAGTGCCTCCAGCAATCCTACCGACTCTGAAACCCCTTCGCAAGGAGTGCGCGGCTCTTCGCCCCCAAAATGCAAACTCCAATTGCAACGGGTGCAACCTGAGCCTAGATGCCAGTACCCCGATCTAGGCAACTTTGTTCTGGGACTCGTCTGTCAGCTGGGGTGCGTTTCAAACAGTCTCTCCACACAGACTAGAATTAGTCGGAAGGGCTTCGCAGAGTGATGCTGGACACCTGCTCTGCTTCCACACAGTCTCCTCATGACCACATACGACGAGGACGTAGCTAGAATAGTGATACCCAAAGTGCAACATCCCGAGTAATTCGCTCGGCACACGTAGCACCCTCGCCTTCCATCGTCCGGTCGAGTCGTCCGGGGTGGTGCAAAGCTCCGAGAAGCTGCCAGGGGAGCCAATCGTGTGCGTCGTCGCGTTTGCCGGGCCGAAGCAGCCAGCCCCAGAGAGCTCAAGGCAAGGCCGCTAGTGCATCCGACGGAATAGGCTTGCAGAGGCTGATATCGAAGATGCTGAAAGCTATGCGCTGCAGCGTGGGCCCCCGTTAAGGCATCTGCGCGGCGAGCCTCTAAGTTTGGCAGGGGCAGCACAAATGCGGCAGCAGCGTCCACGGTCATGACTTTTGTATGTCGAACGACTATCTTGAATTTCGCTTTGCTTTTTGTTGGGGAGCTGTTTTTCTTGAGGGCCCCGGCTTGCTGAGGAAGGAGCTGGAATGGATTGGTACAGTGCATTCAAACAGTGTCCAGTCGCGGCACGCACAAATGGTGCAAAAGGGTCCATCCGTTGAACTGGCATGATCGTTAGTATTCTTTGCATGTGTCACAAGCTCCTGCCACATGGGCATCCAGCCGAAGGCAAAGAGCGCATCTCAAACATGCTGAACACTGGTTTCGGATGCAAGGCTAGCATGGCATACCCCTGCATCTCACTGCTGCAAATCACGTTTTCCAGATGCCGTCACGGCGAGGGATCCAGAGTAGCCTCCTGCAAGCAAGTTGAAGTGCGTAGGTCCCGGCATCAATCAAATCACACGTTAGCTGCAGCTTGAACTCAAAACGACGGCCAGCATCACATGCATGCAGACTTGCAGTGCCTTGCTCTTTTGGTCATGGCTTTTCTTTCGTGGGATGGGCAGGTCGGTAGGGCACCCCTCAACTGCATGGCAGGAGCTGCAAACCAAGTTTGAGCTAGCAATGACCATTTCCATTTTCTAACCATGCACCCCCCCTAGCACCCCAAACCATAACAACCTATACCTCAACCTTCAACCCACCGAAAGACCCATAGGTAGAAC